AGGGTCAGAGGGAGAAGCAGACTCCTTGCCGAGCAGGGAGCCCGATGCGGGACTCGATCCAGGGACTCTGGGGTCATGACCTGAGCTGAAGGCAGTCGCTTAACCAACTGAGCCACCCAGGCGCCCTGTGGTCTATTTTTATAACTAATTTGTCTGTGACTGAAAAGGAACTGAATTCTGCAATATTTGGCTTATAGCCACAAAGTTCTAGATCCTTTATTAAATGTTTATTAAACATTTAATATTTATTTTTTTATTAAATGTTCCACTCAGACTTTGGATTGTGTCGGTATTTGGTTTATTTCATGCTGTGTTAATAGATGAACACAAAATTAATAACCCTTATTAAACAATCTTCCATGTGCTTTGTAGAAAATTAGAGAATAGAGACAGGTAAAATTTTTTCTAAATATTAAAACATCTTGGGGTGCCTGGGTGGCTCAGTTGTTAAGCGTCTGCCTTCCGCTCAGGTCATGATCCTGGGGTCCTGGGATCGAGCCCCGCTTCGGGCTCCCTGCTCAGTGAGAAGCCTGCTTCTCCCTCTCCTCCTCCCCCTGCTTGTGTTCCCTCTCTCGCTGTCTCTCTCTCTGTCAAATAAATAAATAAAATCTTTAAAATAAATAAATAAATATTAAAATATCTTATTTCTACCACTATAACACCTTAGTGGATATAATACATACATGCCTATACATGTTTTTCTTTTTACCAAAGGGACACCATAGTCTTACTGTTTTCTAACCTGATTTCTTTATCAGTGATTTTTATGCTTACTATTTCTATGACATTTTTATTTTATTGCATCTTCAAAACCCAAATTCTATTTATATTACTCCATTTGGCCCAATATGATTTGTTCAGATCAGTATCGCAATGCAAGACTGTGCATTCCATCTGGTTATTATACACTGAAATCCCTCATACTTTAACACATTCCCTTTATTTATGATACTAACACTTTGAAGAGACAAGGCCACTTAAATTGAATATTTGCCATCTTTTAAACTTGTCTCAGTACTGTCCATGATACAATTTGTTTATTCTCTACTCCTTGTATTTTTGTAGATTGGAAATTATTTTCTGTCCTGAGAGATTCACATTAAATATTCTTGGCTGAAATACATCACATAGGTGATTATGTGTATTCTATCAAGAGACACATGTAGGGCGCCTGGGTGGCTCAGTTGGTTAAGTGACTGCCTTCGGCTCAGGTCATGATCCTGGAGTCCCGGGATTGAGTCCCGCATCGGACTCCCTGCTCTCCCTTTGACCCTCTCCCCTCTCATGCTTTCTCTCTATCTCATTCTCTCTCTCAAATAAATAAATAAAATCTTTAAAAAAAAGAAAAAGAGACACATGTATTGAATTGCACTGTTAGTTTTGGAATGTTAAAACTCGATTAAGCTAACAGTTTGATTCCTCCATTATCTATCTTTCATTTACTTAATGTGTTTAATCTACATAATCATTTTTTCTGCTTTTTTTCACAATATTGGCCAAACACAAGTTAATACTCAGAAGCATGTGTTTTTTAACAAAAACATAAATCTTTTAAATTTTCCTTATGTGTTTGGCCCAAGATTTGTGAGAATTATCTTGTATCTTCCCTGTCCCGTTCTTGGAATTAAACATTTCTTTAAGGATTCCCTGATCATAATAGTAGGTATTTATTTTTATTTATTTTATTTTTTTTAATTTTTTTTTAAAGATTTTATTTATTTATTTGAGAGAGAGAGAGAGAGAAACAGCATGAGAGGGGAAAGGGTCAGAGGGAGAAGCAGGCTCCCCACTGAGCCGGGAGCCTGATGTGGGACTCGATCCCAGGACTCCGGGATCATGACCTGAGCCGAAGGCAGTCGCTTAACCAACTGAGCCACCCAGGCGCCCATAGTAGGTATTTAGAGATGACAATGTAAATGATCAGGGTGCTTATTGCCACTAGCCTTTTTGACATTTTTTCTATTTCCTGAAAACCTGTTTCAGATTTTTGTCCTTTGTAGGATTGATTTTGATCAATATTTTCTCATGTTTGTCTTCACTTTTATAATATCTTAATGTTTTGTTTGTTCTCCCCTTTTTTCTTGATTAGTTTAGCTAGTGTATCATCATACGTTGATTTTTTTTTTCTCCAAGAGATACCTTTTTGGTTTTTTGTTTTGCTTTTTGGGTTTTTTTGTTTTCTTGGAGAGTGGGGGTGGGGGGAAAGGGAGCGGGAGAGAGAATTTTAGGCAGGCTCCACGCCCAGCTCTGAGCCCAACACGGCTTGATCTTACAACCCTCTGATCATGACCTGAGCTGAAATCAAGAGTTGGACGCTAACCAGCTGAGCCACCCAGGCTGCCCTCAAGAGATACCTTTTTGAATTTATGTGTTGGTTTTCTTTTTCTAAATTCATTACATTCTGGGTTTTTTATCTTTATACTTTCTGCTTTCCTTTAGCTTACTTTGATGTTTTTCTAAACATTTTCATAAATTGTTTATTTAATTTGTGTTGAGGTGACAACTTTTCTCTGGGCATTATGGTTAAATATTTTACCTTCTGAAATGTAGTATTTTCATTTTTTGTCTGGTTATATTTCTTTAGTTTCACTGTTTATTTCCTCAGTATAGTAAAGATGCTGACTCTATTTTTGATTTTTGACTGCTGACAGCTTTCAAGCCCCACGTCTCTACCCCACTTTTGGGCAAGCAGATAAAAAGCCTGAGAGCTCCCTACTTTGGTGCCTGTGGAAAGTTCAAACCATGCAAACCTCATGCCCAGGAAACCTCAGCCCTGCCCCATACCCTAACTACCAAAAAAAACCCCAAGTCATTCTCTTCCAAATCTCTCAAGTCCTCTTCAGACCTATTTGGGAGCCACTCTGCTCTTTCTAGGAAGGCTTGTTATACAAGTAATCTTTTCACATCTTCCTGATGTATATGTGTCATCATTAGTCTTGACGTCCAAGTCAAGGTTTGTGTGGGTATCTGTCCTGCCTCTTCTGGTGCATTTAATTAACAGAGAGCCTTTAATTTTTTAGATGAAGTGCTTTTTATTTTCTGATGTTGCTGTTATTTTCAGTGTTATTTTTTGAGGTCAGAGAATGTATCATGTCACCTGTTATACACATCCCACAATTGAGTCATATACTCTTTGCCCTTGACTCACACCTCCCTTCATTCTGCAGTGATACTCCTGAGTCTTTTCCTGAATCTGGATTGCCATCTTCCACCTTATATCTGATATTTCCTTTTAACAGTCCCAGGCACTCTGGTATCCCAGGACTTTACTCCACATTTTAATTTCTTGATTCTCTCCAGCATCTCCAAATGGAAGGAATTTCTTACTTCATTTAAGTACATATCTGTGATTGTCTGAAAAGGCATCACAATACTGGGAAGTACAAGGATGGCTGGCCTTGAAAATAAAGAAAAGGAAGAAAGGATATGAAAAAGGATATGAACCAACACAGATTTAGCATATTTAGATGGAGAAGGAATAATAAAACTCAACTGAAAATAAGTAAGAACAATTATTTAGCACCTTGATATATCAGAACCTTGTAATTCAGTGATGAAAAAAAAGGACTGGGCGCCTGGGTGGCTCAGTCAGTTAAGCATCTGCCTTCGGCTCAGGTCATGATTCCAGGGTCCTGGGATCGAGTCCCGCATCAGGCTCCCTGCTCAGCGGGGAGTCTGCTTCTCCCTCTGCCTCTGCCTGCCACTCTGCCTACTTGTACTCTCTCTATCTCTCTGTCAAATAAATAAATAAAATCTTTATAAAAAAAGAGGATTGTGTCTGCTTTTGGGGAAGTTTAGGGAAATGTAAGTAGAATATCAAATAAGGAAACTAATGATATCATAATTGGAAACAAAGGGATGGTGGAAGGAATGAAGTGCTAGAACATAAAAAGAGAGACATGAATATACTTAGAGTTAGCAGGTGCAGCCTTTCTAAGGGATAGGACATTTATCCTGAGACTAAAGGATAAGAAGAATCAGCTTACAAAGTGCCCAGGTCCAAGGAGTCTTGTCATACAAAACAGTCTTTGGAAAGCATCAAGTGATAGAGAAGATTGTACCATATCCTAAGTGCTGAAAGGAGAGAATGTGAAAGGGGGCACCTCAGTGGCTCAGATGGTTAAGCGTCTGCCTTTGGCTCAGGTCGTGATCTGGGGTCCCAGGATCGAATCCCACATCAGGCTCCCTGCTCAGCAGGGAGCCTGCTTCTCCCTCTCCCTCTGCTGTTCCCCCTGCTTGTGCTCTCGCTCTCTCTGTCAAATAAAATCTTAAAAAAAAGAGAGAATGTGAAAGGAGATGGGGCAAAGGAGTCAGTGTTTGGACATTCCAAGAGTAAAGAGAAACACTAGAGAAACTTAGGATAAATTCTTAACCTTTGATCTGCATTTAAATCAAGATTCAAAATAAAGATGCCAAGGTTTTTTCCCTCTCAGTTCTAACTTAGTTGGTCTCTGACAGAACCAGGATATCAGATTTATAACAAGCTTGCCAAAGATTCTGGCCCATACCTAAATTTCAGTAACTTCACTATCTCACATAATTTCACATACATCTCTGAACTCTTGGCCTTTCAAAAATTTCATAACCATATTTTACAATTCAATAAGCCCTTCACTTATTATGATTGTTGGTTCGTATTTCTTTCGTACAAGTTCCATGTTCTCTAGTATAAGAAATACAAATTTTTTTTGTTTTCTTTTGTTTCAGATTTGGATTTACATTGTGAGGTGATCAGCTATGTAGAAATGCGCACTTATGAGAAAGATATATCTTCTACACAACATCAGAGCACATACAACAGTGAGAAACTCTATGAATGTAAGAAATGTCAGAAGAAATTTAGTAGTGGCTATCAATTTATTCTACATCACAGGTTTCATATTGGTGGAAGGCCTTATGAATGCAAGGACTGTGGGAAGAACTTTCGTAGTGGCTATCAACTTACCCTACATCAGAGATTTCATACTGGTGAGAAACCCTATGAATGTACAGAATGCGGGAAGAACTTTAAAAGTGGTTATCAACTTACTGTACATCAGAGATTTCATACTGGTGAGAAAACCTATGAATGTAGGGAATGTGGGAAGGCCTTTATTTATGCCTCACACATTGTGCAGCATGAGAGAATCCACACTGGTGGGAGGCCTTATGAATGTCAGGAATGTGGGAAGGCCTTTAGTCAAGGTGGACACCTTAGAATTCATCAAAGAATTCATACCGGTGAGAAACCCTATAAATGTCAAGAATGTGGGAAGGCTTTTAGTAGGCGCTCAAACCTTGTTGAACATGGGCAAATCCATACTGATGAGAAACCTTATGTATGTGAGAAATGTGGGAAGGCCTTTAAAAGAGGTCACCAACTTACTGTACATCAGAGTGTTCATACTGGTAAAAAACCATATGAATGTAAAGAATGTGGGAAGGGCTATACCACTGCCTCATACCTTATTCTACATCAGAGAATTCATAAAGGTGGGAAACCATATGAATGTAAGGAATGTAAGAAAACCTTTACCTTGTATAGAAATCTGACTCGACATCAGCGTATTCACACTGGTGAGAAACTTTTTGAATGTAGGCAGTGTGGGAAGGCCTATACTACTGGCTCAAAACTTTTTCAACATCAGAAAACTCACACTGGTGAGAAGCCCTATGAATGTAAGGAATGTGGAAAGGCTTTTAGCTTATATGGATACCTTCATCAACATCAGAAAATTCATACTGGTGTGAAACACTTTGAATGTAAGGAGTGTAAAAAAACCTTTACTTTGTATAGAAATCTTATTCGACATCAGAGTATTCATACTGGTAAGAAACTTTTTGAATGTAAAGAATGTGGGAAGGCCTATAGTACTGCCTCAAACCTTGTTCAACATCAGAAAACTCATACTGGTGAGAAACCCTATGAATGTAAAGAGTGTGGAAAGACCTTTAGCTTGCATGGATATCTTAGTCAACATCAGAAAATCCATACTGGTGTGAAACCCTATGAGTGTAAGATATGTAGGAAAACCTTTACTTTCTATAGAAACCTTACCCTACACCAGAGTATTCATACTGACGAGAAACCTTTTAAATGTAAGGAATGTGGGAAGACCTTTAGACGTAGTTCACACCTTACCGCACATCAGAGTATTCATGCTGATAAGAAACCCTATGAATGTAAGAAATGTGGGAAGTCCTTTAAAATGTATGGATATCTTACACAACATCAGAAAATTCATACTGGTGGGAAACCCTATGACTGTAAGGAATGTGGGAAGGCTTTTAGTCGTGCTTCAAACCTTGTTCAACATGAGAGAATTCATACTGGTGAAAAACCCTATGTGTGTAAGAAGTGTGGGAAAGCCTTCAGATATGGTTCAGCCCTTAAAGCACATCAGGAAATGCATACAGATATGAAATTCTAAGAACATAGGAATGTGACAGTGCCTTTAGGCACGGCCCAGACTTTTTTAACATCAGGCAGTTCACACTGGTGAGAAATTATTGAATATTAGTCTTCATAGGTATGTCTTCACCAGGTGAGAGAATTCATAATGTAGTTCTTATCACTTTATAAAGATCTCAGTGTCACTCCCGTTTTAATGGAATGTTTGACTTTAAACAATAGCAAATTAAACCCAGAGTAGCCAAAGTAATCTTGAAAAAGAAGAATAAAACTGGAAGTATCACGATTCCAGACTTCAAGATATACTACAAAGCTGTAGTAATCAAAACAGTGTGGTACTGGCATAAAAATAGGCACATGGACCAATGTTACAGAATACAGAGCCCAGAAATAAACCCACAACTATATGGTCAATTAATCTTCAACAGAGGAGGCAAAAACATGCAATGGGAAAAAGTCTCTTCAACAAATGATGTTGGGAAAACAGGACCACTTTCTTACACCAGACACTAAAAATAAACTCAAAATGGATTAAAGACTTAAATGTTAGACCCAAAACCGTAAAAATCCTAGGGGAAAGCACAGGCAGTAATTTCTCTGACATCGGCCATAGCAACATTTTTCTAGATAGGTCCCCTGAGGGAAGGGAAACAAAAGCAAAAATAAACTACTGGGACTACATCAAAATAAAAACTTCTGCACAGCAAAGGAAACAACCTACAGAATTGGAGAATATATTTGCAAATGACAAATAAAGGGTTAGCATCCAAAAAATACAAAAAACTTAACTCAACACCAAAAAAACAATCCAATTTAAAAAGGGGCAGAAGACGTGAACAAACATTTCTCCAAAGAAGACATAAGATGGCCAAAAGACACATAAAAAGATGCTCAACATCACTCATCATCAGGAAAATGCAAATCAAAACCACAATGAGATATCACCTCACACCTGTCAGAATGGCTAAAATCAACAACACAAGAAACAGTGTTGGCAAGGATGTGGAGAAAAAGGAACCTCTTGCACTGTTGGTGGGAATGCAAACTGGTGCAGCCACTGAAAAAAAAAAAAACCAGTATGGAGGTTCCTGAAAAAATTAAAAATAGAACTATCACAGGATCCAGTAATTCCACTACTGGATATTTACCAAAAGGATACAACAACACTAATTTGAAAAGATGTATGCACCCTATATTTATTGTATTATTATTTACAATAGCCAAATTATGGAAGCAGCGCAAGTGCCCATCAATAAATGAATGGATAAAGATGTGAAGTATTTATATATATATATATTTGCCATAAAAAAGAATGAAATCTTGCCGTTTGCAATGACGTGGATTGATCTAGAGGGTATAATGCTAAGTGAAATAAGGCAGAGAAAGACAAATACCATATGATTTCACTCATACGTGGAATTTAAGAAACAAATAAGCAAAGAAAAAAAAGACTCTTTAGAAAACGAACTGATGGTTACCACTCTGGGGGCTGGGAGGATGGAGGAAATAGGTGAAGGGGATTAAAAGAACACTTATCATGATGAGCACTGAGTAATGTATAGAATTGTTGAATCACTATATTGTATACCTGAAGCTAATATAACACTGTATGTTGACTGTACTGGAATTAAATTTAAAAAAAAATAATGACAAATTAAGACCAAAATATGGGAATCTCAATTTTTTCATGCCTACAACGTGCATGGAATTTTCAACTAAGTTTGTTAATTTAGGGGTGCCTGGGTGGCTCAGTCAGTTAAGCGTCTGCCTTCGGCTCAGGTCATGATCCCAGGGTCCTGGGATTGAGCCCTACATCAGGCTTTCTGCTCAGCGGGAAGTCTCGAGAATTCCCGCTGAGCAGAGAGGACTTCTCCCTCTCCCTCTGCCTTTCCCCGTGCTTGTGCACTCTCACTCTCTCTATCAAATAAATAAAATCTTAAAAATTTTGTTAATTTAATGAATGGCTAAAAGCCTTCCATAATAATCAATGGCTGTGTTACAAATTATCTCAAATCTTAATGGCTCATCATCACAACAGCTCTCACAGTTTCTGTGGGTCAGAAATTCAGGAGTGACTTGGCTGAGTGCTTCTGGATTGGGTTTTTCATGAGATTTCAGTCATCTGAAGGATCGGGCCCAGGTGGCTCACTCACATTGGCTTCTGGCACAGAGAAAGAGTGTGTCAGGAGAAAGCCATCCTCATCCACAGTGGACCTGATTTACATGAGGAAATCCTGGACTTGAAGTTGATGCTGTAAATGGGTGAGGCTCCTGGCACTTCTTTAGTATGTTTTGCATGTGGTAAGAATGTAAACAATTTATACTCGGGTGCCTGGGTGGCTCAGTCGTTAAGCGTCTGCCTTCAGCTCGGGTCATGATCCCAGGGCGCTCGGATCGAGCCCCGCATCGGGCTCCCTGCTCTGCTGGAAGCCTGCTTCTCCCTCTCCCACTCCCCCTGCTTGTGTTCCCTCTCTCTGTCAAATAAATAATATCTTTAAAAACAAAACAAAAAAGCCAAAAAAAAAAATTTATACTCAGAGGACCAGTGGTTGTGTTTTAAGAAATATATCCACAAATTCTTTGAAACTGCACCCTTCAAAACTGAAGCCTCTCTCTTGCTGCATTCCAGGCCACCTGAAAATCTGAGTAAGTATGCTTCTCACAGTTTCTGTGGATCAGGAATTTGGGAGCAGATATGCGAAGGAGTTCTGGCGCCAGGTATCTCATGGATTGAAGATCTCAAAGAGATTAATGGGGGTTGGAGGATCTGCTTTTGAAGATGGCTTCGTTTTGTGGCTGATAAGTTCATCCTGGCAAGTTATTTCCTCTCCAGCGGGACCTCTCCATGTGCTGCTTGAGTGTCCTTGTGACAGGATAATTGGCTTTTATCAGAAGTGATCCTATAATCTAGCCTTGGCAATCACTTCTGCCTCATCCTCCTGATTAGCAGTAAGTAGGTCAAGTCCAGCCCACATTCACCAGTCATCCTTTCATATTAATCTTGTCTGCTCCAAAATTATGTTAACTTTCTTTTATAAGTATTTAACTGGTATAATTTTTATCATCTTTTTCATTGCCACTTCTCTTTCTCCTTAAGCTTTAGATGTGACCCTTTTAACACCTACACCCAGATTTTTTTAATTTATTTTTTTAAAGATTATATTTTTTAAGTAATCTCCACACCCAAAGTGGGGCTTGAACTCACAACCCCAAGATCAAGAGTAGCACGCTCCACCTACTGAGCCAGCCAGGTGCCCCTATTTTAATTTTTTTAATTAATTATTTTTTTTTGATGTAGTGTTCCATGATTCATTGTTTGCGTATAACACCCAGTGCTCCATTCAATATGTGCCCTCTTTAATACCCATCACCAGGCTAACCCGTTCCCCAACCCTTAATTTTTTTTAACAGGAGAAAAAAAAAACCCAAAGTTTTATTTTGTGCAGTGGAGGCTCAATAATGAAATTGAGACCTCCTTAATTTTTAAATTGATGTTTAATGGAATTAATCCATTTAATTTACCAATGATTATTGACAAACATGAATCATTTTTAGTTGCCTAATGTTCTTTCTGTTTTTCTCTTAATTTCTTGTTTTCTTTCACATTTACCTATTCTTTCTCGATCCATTTTTTTTATCACTTTGGAAAATTTTCACTCTTGTTTGATTCTGTAGGCTGTTAATATAGAAATACAACAAGCATTTTAAAGTCCAAATTTAATTAATACGTAGTTTTCCACACACCTGACATTTGTTAGAATTCTTCAATTTCAGGGGCACCTGGGTGGCCCAGGTGGTTAAGCTGGACTCATGATTTTGGCTCAGGTCATGATCTCAGTGTCCTGAGATGAGCCCCAAGTGGGGCTCCTCACTGGGTGTGGAGCCTACTTAAGATTCTCTCTCCCTTACCCCCTGCCCCTCTCATCCTGTACCCGAGTGTGTGTTCTCTCTCTCTAGAAAAAAAAAAGCTTCAATTTTAACCTGGCACCTCTACCTACTGCCAGGTGGCGGCTGTTGGCGTAAAAGGCACCCTATCAATGATTGTAAGGCCCTTTCGGCTCCCCAGCCAGTTGTCACCCCAACCCGGATCTGGGCAACCCTGTGCAGGCAAGAGGAAAAGGCAAGGATGATGGCTTCAGGTAAGCAGTAGATGCTGCCATCAGCTTGGTGTTGGACCAGATCAGCTCGAGTCTGGACCACCTGGAAGAGAACCTCTTACCTCCATGTCTCCAGGAGCTGCCTGAGTCCAACTGGCAGACATGCCTTGAGTTCCAGCCCAGCTCAGGGAGGCCCCTAGGCTCTGCTAGTCCCCAACCAAGCCCCAACCCTTCCTCTCTGGGCTAGGTTTTGGCCCTGGGCACTCAGCACCTGACTTAGATACCTTTTCAAGGTCTGGCCTACAGGTCCTCTGGTAGGTCTGCCTGCCTGGGCCACCCTTCTGGTACTCTCCTTGGCATGCCTGGGCCAGCCCCCACCACATGGCATCCCCTCCTGGGGCCAGGTATGAGCCTGCAACCCACCCACCTTGCCTGCCTAATTCCTGGGCACTCCCCACTCTGCCCAGGCCTTGAGTGTCTACATTAAGCAAATCTCAAACACCAATGAATTAAAAAAAAAAAAAAAGTTTCCACTTCAATCCTCCCTTAAAAGTTGCTATTATGTAGTTCCTTGATAATTTTTCCTTTAATTTTTTTTCAGGTTTTTGTTTTTTTAAGATTTTTATTTATTCATTTGAGAGAGAGAAAACATGAGTGGAGCGGAGAGGGAGAGGGAGAAACAGACTCCCCACTGAGCAGGGAGCCTGACTCAGGGCTCCATCCCAGGACCTGAGATCATGACCTGAGCTGAAGGCAGACGCTTAACCGACTGAGCCACCCAGGTGCCCCCTTTTATTTTTAATTGAACAAATTAGACATTATATTAGCAGTTCACACAGTAAATGGTAAGATATATAGAGGTTATACAGTAGGAATAGTTTGCACATTTTATAAATATTTTATTGTTTTTAATTTTGTTTTCTATTTTCTGTTGAATTATTTTCTGCCTTCATCTTTATTTTCTTCTTTCTGCTGTTTTTTTTTTTTTTTTAAACTAATCTCTATACCCAACATGTGGCTCCAACTCACCACCCTCAGATCAAGAGTCACATACTCTGCCTACCCAGCCAGTCAGGCACCTCTGCTTTATTTTTAGTTTGCCCTTCTTTTATTGAAATCTTTCTTTTTTCCCCT